GAGTCCAGGTGGTTGAGTATCAGATTGTTCCATCTCATTTCCCTTTGGGGTTGCTGTAGGTGATCTGGAAGTCTGTTTTTGAGGCTTGTTTACATGTCTTCTCATTTCCACGGGCCGGGGCTTGCTTCTGTCTCCCGCACGGCTCACCTTCTCTGCCCTAGGAGCATGGAATGGCTGCAGGGGAGCTTCCTTCCAGGTGCTCGGACTGGCTCAGCTTCTCTTGCCTAGGAGGTTGGAATGGTGGTGGGGGAGCTTCCTTCCAGGTGCTGGGACACTGGCTCAGCTTCTCTGCCTTAGGAGCATGGAATGGTGACGGGGCAGCTTCCTTCCGGGTGCTGGGACTGGCTCAGCTTCTCTGCCCTAGGAGCGTGGAATGGCAGTGGCGGAGCTTCCTCCTAAGTACACAAGATTTTATAGCTAGGGGGGACTTTTTTTTTTTTTCTGAGGTAGGAACTACATTGTATTTCTTTCTTCTTATTTTTAATAGATTTTTCCCCTGAATATAAAAATAGTAGGTAAAATTCAGAGGGTACAGAAAAAGAAAAATCATTCTCATAATCCTCATCTCATCCCTAGAACAGTAATCACTGTTAACACTTCAACCTATCTCCTTCTAGTCATTTTTATTCTTGTTTTATTATAGAATCAGTATCATGTTATATATACAATGTTATGTGAGTTTCCAGTTTGCACAGTAACATGAATATTTTCCTATTATTATAAGCATCAGTTTCTAAAACTGCTTAATAGTTCATCAGATGGCTCTATCATATGTATATATTATATATTTCCACACTGTTAGATGTCTAAATTTTTTCCTATTCGTAAGTCTAAACTGCTTCCTATAACAGACCCAAGAAACGAGCCAGAAGCTTATAATGAACTTGTGCTATATATGGCCCTGGGTGAGCCATATTGCAGCCCTAAGGTAAATCACAAACCTAGCCAGCTTCAAAGGAGTTCTAGAAACTGGACAATCTGGACTATTTACTAAGGGCAAAATTTACAGAGGCTTCTTTGCTGAGCACTGGGGAGCCCACATAAATGTACAGAGCCCTCTTCTCTTTGGAAGCTGGGTTCATGGGGCACAGCTTGTCCACAGGAAGAAGCTTGCTGCCCCTTCTCGCCTACCAGTGTGGAGACAGCCTCCTGCATGCCAAGTTACTTCACTGTCAGTGCCTCTGCTGAGAACCTTTGAATTTGTTTCCTGATGCTTTTCCCCAGAAAACAATGTCTAATGTCAAGAAAGGAACTCTTGTGAAAATCAGGAGATTCAGCATGGCTATAGTCATAATTTTTTTTAAAAAAATTTTTAATTGGCAGGTAAAATTGTTATATATACACACACATGATATATATATATATCATGTATAACATGATGTTTTGAAATCTGTATACATTGTGGAACGGCTAAATCAAGTTAATATACACATTACCCCATGCTTGCTCTATTTATGGTGGAAAAACTTTAAAAATATTAGATTTTTTCAAGAATACACTATATTGTTATTAACTAGAGTCACTTGTGACAATATTGATGAACCTGAAGGACATTATGTTAAGTGAAATAAACCAGGCACAGAAAGACAAACACCACATGACCTCACTCTTATTTGGAATCATTCATATGAAATCAAAAAAGCTGATCTCATAGTAGAGAATAGAATGGTGGATTTGCCTTAGTGTTGTCACAGGCTTGCTCTAAGACCTGAGGCAAGTTACTTCCCTTGCCAAGCCTCTGTTCCTCCTGGTAATATAGGTGGTCTCCAGGGCCCTGCCCACATTAACATTCCAGAGTACCTGAGACCTTTCTCTTGCCAGGAGCTAAAGTGAGCATCCTGGTAAAAGTCACAGGATGCTTCTCCAGAGTCTAGAGTTCCTCTTAATTAGTACCTAGGGAGCCACTTATGTTTTTTTTTTTGGAACTGGGGATCAAACTCAGGATCTTGTGCCTGCGAGATAGGTGGCAGCACCACTGAGCTAAATCCCTGGCCCGCCACTTATACTTTTAGATTCCCAGTCACTTCCTCCCAGTATCATGTTGGAACATGCCAAGACCAAAAGGCAAGAAATGTCTCCTACTGCTTGGGAACCCTGGATTCAGAAACCTAAATGACTGTCTTTCACATATTAAGCATTTTTTCCTTTATGTACTTTTATTTTTTCTCTCATTTAGCAGATGTTAACTGAGTTGCAGGCTTTGTGTAGTGTGTTTGTGTGATACAGAGGTGAAGGAGACTTGGCCTTGCTCCCAGGACATATGCAGTCCAGTGAGGAGACAGGAAAAATGCTAAATGGCAACAGGTATTTACTACAATACTATGCCTAATAAAAGGGCAAATTACAGGAGTGCCCGAGTCTGCCTAGAAGCAGCAGCAGAAGGGTCTTGGTGGATGCTTTGAGGTTTTAAAGAATGAGTAAGGGTTTTTTAGGTGAGTAGTAGGAAAAGGCATTCTGGGTGGCAGAACAAGCATGTACAAAGGCCTGTAGGTGTGAGAGAACAGGGTGTGTACAAGGAACTGCAGGGTTTATGTAGCTTCGAGGGAAAGGGAGAATGAGCAGTGGAGAAAGTCGAGCGTCTCCTCAGCCCGGTCTGTTTCCACTGAATTCTTTGCTCATTTTATCAGTCCAGATGAGAACGATGGTCTTTTTAGTTCAGTTTCCAAAATCTGTTATCTTTATTGCCTTATCTTTCCATTTTTAAAGTAACATATGCTCATTATAGAAAGTTTGAAAAATACAAAAAAATAGAAAAAAATTACTGTAGTCTAACTGATTAAAGACAACTTCCTTCACATCTTGGTGCAGTTCTCTTTAAAGGTTTTTTCACTCTCTCTTTATGTATCTGTTAATAGGTTGTAATTATAGTTTTAACCTTTGTATATAGTACTTCTTTATATTTCTTTCCTAAAATTTGCCACAAATGGATGTTAGTGTCATTAGAAAGTAACAGTTATTATAAAATATACTGCTATATGTTTTATCTAGTATATTTTCTTTCTTTTTACAGATCTCTTGTGGCTCAGAGCATAATTTGGCAGTAATTGGTAAGTAATTTTTATACTGATACTGTGTTTTTTCTGAAACTCATATGACAGAATTGGAGAAGACTTGATTAACCAAAAGCCAGGGTGCACATGTGTATATGTATTGGGGAAATTTAGGGAGATGGAAGCCGGGGATTACCAAGAGTTTACTAAACGCGCCTTTCCTGAAAACTTTATTCCATGTCATTGAACACCTTTATAAGGTGCCCAAGCTGGCCTTCTTGCCTCAGGAAGTGGCACTTGGGGATCATAAAGAACTTATGGGCTTGGGGCATCATGTATAGACAGTCAGGCATAAAAAGGAGAAAGAGAGAGGAGCTTGGTTTGTAGTTCCATATTAGAGTACTTCCCTGCCTTGTGTGAGTCCCTGGATTCAGTCCCAGTACTGTTAAAAAGAAAAATGGAGGGCCGGGGATTTAGCTTAGTGATTTCGCCACCTGCTGCACAAGTGCAAGGACCCGAGTTCGATCCCTGGTACCAAAAAAAAAAAAAGAAAAGAAAAATGGATTGGACAGTTTCTGGTTCCTTAAATAAATCCTTTCTACCAAGTTCTTTCTTCTTGATGTGGCTCTTTCTTTGGAAATACACAGCTCTGCTCACTTCCCCTCACTGTCCTGTATTAAGTAACACTAAGGAACTCCCAGTTGGACTCAAACGTCTGATTGAGATTTCCTCTTCATTGGCTCTACATATCCCAAGTTCAGTGCTTTTAGGGTTAGACCTATGAGCGATGCATTTAGGAAGCCTTTTCACTACTTTCACAGGTCGAGTCAGTCTCCGACTCATAGCATGTTAGATCCAGTGTAGTCCCGAGTGCCTGAGTTCAGTAGGCTTCTACTTAATACTAGTGTGAACTTGACAAGGTGTCAACTCCTCCATATCTCATTTTCCTCGTCTTTAAAATTGATGGCTATAGTGTCTATTTCATAACGTTGTGAGGGTTACGTGAATTTATGTACAGAAAACTCATAGAATGGCACCTAGCTCTCAGCAAGGGCTTCAGAATTCTAAGTTGTTGTTACCAGACATGATTAGTTCAAGGAGTTGCCTTGTTTTGAGCTTTAGATCCCCCATCTCTAAAATGGAGGGCTTAAAACAAAAAACCAAGTTTTCCTCCAGCTCTGGTATTTTAGTTCACATCACAATCTCACTCTGCCTATCTTGTGTCAGTGATTTCTGTTCCTGTTTCTCTCTCCTAGCCCCTGACTCTAAACCTTGAAAGGCAAGGCCCCTATGTTTTCTTCTTGTTTCTTGTGTATTCACAGCACCCAGCACAGTGCCTGGCCCTCAGTGAAGACTCAAGCACTCTTGAATTGAGCTGGACAGGCTCATCTGCCTGGAATGGCAGTAGTTTGAAGCACTGTTTTGCAGGCCCTAAAGTGATGTGCAAAGAGGCAGAACCAAGGACAGCAGAGGAAGGAGGCTGTCAGCAGCAGAGGGGAGCCAAAGGGGCTCTAGTCAGATAGAAAGCTAGAAAGGGTAACAGCCAACCTGCATGCTTTGCAGCAGTAACAGATCATTTATACTGGCACTGCTCCAGCCTCCACGTAATTAAGACAAGCTAATGCAAGAGTCAGAGGCAGTACCTAGAATGTGCTACTGCTGCCACCACTGTCACCACCACTACTTCTGTTACTAGACTCGGAGAGGGCAGTTTCCTCTGGGACCAGCATAAGCAAGAAGACTGAAGGGGATCTGAATACACAAAAGCAAAGAAGGGATGAAGGAGGGGCCAGGGCCAGAGCTGACTGATCAGCAGACTGAGCTGACATAGGCTGCCTGGAGCCCTAGAAAGCGCGAGGATGGCAGGCAGACCGCCTCGGTCTACACTGGGTCCATCTCTGTGTGAGCTTCCATTTTCCCCCCTCATCTGTGTAACAGGGTGAGAATTCCTCCTTGTAGGATTGTGGGGAAAGATGAGGTGATATAGAATGTGAAATGCCTGGTCTTTTGCCTTTGTTTCTCATCTCCCTTGGTAGAGGTAGGAAGAGGGGAGACTCACCTGTCAGCATTGCCAGTCCTAGTGAGGTACTTCTTGATGAGGAGCAAGAAATGATGCCATTCTGGAAAGTTATGCCCAAGTGCAGAGGCCATCAAAGGTAGTGGGCAAGCAGGGCAGGCCAGTGAGCTCCTTGAAAGTGGACTTATTTTTTGTTTTGTCCCCAGTGTCCAGAGCCTGGCGCACTGTCCGCTGAGTGGAAGGTTGTGGAGTCAGGAAAGGTGACACAGGACTCGGCATCGCCTGCCTGCCTGCCTGTGAGCTGGGAGCCAGATGCTCCCACCACGGGCGCAATGTGGCCCCCAGTGGGGCCCCGCAGGGGGCATGCTTTGCAAGCAAAATGACAAGAAGCTGCCTGTTAGGCCTGGCAGGAGGCCAGCAAGAGGGAGACAAGCTGGAGGGAGAGAAGAGCTCTGCTGGCTCACAGGCCTGTTTCTCCCAGCCAGCTCCTCCTGTCGCCTGCCTGCCTGCCGTTGCCCACCTCAGATGGGATTCCCTGCCTTCTGCCTCACTCCCTGAGCTTTTGCCTATCAGTGCCTGGTGCTGCACCCACCATAACAGGCATAACTCAGTAGTGGAATAGACTAGAGCAGAATACGGACTTCGTCAAGGGTAGAATCAGCCTTAATGTCAAGTCAACATTCAACAGACAGATCAGTTTGGAAAGGGAGGTGAGGTAGAGAAGGGTAAAGGACAAAACTGGGAACTTACTCTGTCTCAAGGAGTGGACACAACCCCACAAAGTAGATTTGTTGTACCTGTTCTATAGTGAAGAAGACTGAGACTCAGTTTTCTAAACTGGTTAAACAGGTAGCCTGAAAATAAGTACAGGAGACGGTAGAGATATCTCCCTGCCTCCCAGGACTGCTCTTTCCACTCTAGCATGTCCTGTGGCCTGAAGTAGGAAAGGGTAGTGATTCAGAAGAGCACAGGCACTGGGGTCAGAGAGTCTAGATTCGCATTCTGCCTCCTCCGCTTATGGGCTCTGTGGCTTGTGTAATTGGCTTAGCCTCTCTGTGTCTTGATCACTTCATCCAGGATAACATATTATTGACCTCATGTGGTTGTTATGTAAAGTGCTAAGAACAATGTCTGGCACAAAGTAAAGCTCCAGTAAATATTAGCTGTTATCATCACTATGATTATCATTATTGTTACATGTTGAGAACTCAAGAAAGGAAGTTTTGTAATTGACTACAGGAAGGCCTGTGGCTCAGGGTGAGAATCATAGGCATTAAAGAGGAGGTGTCTTCCTTGACCTGGATGTCAGGATCTGGGGCGAGATCTCGGCATAGCTACAGGATGGCTCCGTAAACTTGAGCCTATGGACGTAGACGCCACTCCCACAGCCTTGGAAAAGTGCCGATCACATTTGTTCCAGGCCAGGATTCTGTTGTCCACTCTCCCAGGCAAGGACCCAGGCCCTGAGTGTTCCAGGCTGGGCAAGCTCGCTGCAGTCACAGTTGTTTTCTCCTTGTATGCTGCTACTCTAGTTGCTCCCAGGTTTCTTCCCCTTCATTTGTAGTTTGCTTTCGTTCTTTCCTTGATTTCCCAAATAAGTTTTTCTGACATGTTTGGTTTCTTCCACTTGGTGCCCCTGTGGCTAGGCAGGATGGTCAGGTGGTGTGAGTTAGTGCTCTGCCCACAGGGAGAACTACTGGAGCTGGGCATGGAGAGACTCAGGTAATAGTCGAGGAGAGCTGAGGCCGCCGGCTATAACGGCTTACCCCTCTCTACCTGTGTGGCTCTTACAATGGCTGTGCCTCACTGAGCCAGCAGGTGCCTTCCCTGTGAAATGATGCCATGATACCCACCCCCGGAAGTGGGTCTTCCTCATGGCATAGGTATGTCAAGTTCATTCTCCGAGTCTGCCACACTCCCCTGGTGCTTGCGCACCTGGCTGGTTTATTGGTTTCCTTCCTTCCCTCCCTCCCTTCCTTCCTTCCTTTCCATCCAGGATTTCCCTGCCCATCTGACAGCATTTTCTGGCAGGTCCCATTTGTGGGCGCCCGCCGAGGTCAGCAGAGGTGAGCAGAGGGATCATGGCCCACACTTGCTCAGAGGATCCTTGGTCCTGGAGGTAGGATCCTCACATCTGGCTGTCTTCAGGCCCCTTATCTCCACGTCTGGCTGAATTGGCTCCAGCTGTTTTGCTTCCCCCAGGAGCGGCTTATTTTGGCTCAAGTGGCCAATTTGCTTGCCTCCTTTCCTTTTTCCTGATGTGCAGTTGTTCAGCCTTCCCGTCCTGCAGCAGAAAAAGAGCTGACTGCGTTGCTTCTCCCTGCTCTGCAGACCCTTGGAAGGACTCTATTGGTGGCCTTTTCCTGAAGCAGGGGGCTTGCCAGACAAGCAATTTTAAAGATTGGATATTGCCAGGAAAGTGTTGTACCTCCTTCTCTGCCAAGCAAAGGCAAGTGCTTTGAAGTTACACTCTGCTCATTGATTTATTTTCTGTTTTACTGATGATTTCCAGTTGTTGAACATCTGTACGTTTGTTATATGTATAGCAGAACATCTGACCTTTGCCTGAAACTCATCAAAGAGAGTCATGTGAGATCTCATAGAAAAATTTAATAGAAATAACTCTTTTAGAAGGAGGGCACAGGCTATTTTTCACCCCAGAGCTTTGAAGAGTGCATTGAGGCGGGTTCAGAGTTGTCTGTTCTTATGCACAGGGTGGTAGGCAGCAGAGAAATGCTTTACCTATATTATCCCATTTAATCCCATAGGAAATCAATGGGTTACTACTATGTTAACCCAGTTTTTAGATAAGGGAAGATGAAACAATGTGCCACACCCAAGTCATACATTTGGGAGGAACCTGTGTGTCAGATTTTTAATCCTAGTCTCTGACTTCAGAACCTGTAGACAGCTAACCTGTGCTGCCTGTCTGCAGACTGGTGACGGTCTGGTGTGTTTTTAAGTCCATTAGGTAAGAATGTTCATCTCTTCAGTTTATTTCCCTACCAAGGCAAGTTGGTGCACACCCATAATCCCAGCA